TATATTTTTGCTTGTTTGAATACCATAATATTTTATTCTATATTATTTTGAAACATTGGTGTTTTTTTTGTCCCCATCGACACAGTTTAGATAATTTAGGAGGCAGGCTTCGGTCATGCCTGCCAAAGCCAACCCTGAGTGAGAGAGACGCAACGTCCCAGCAGAAAGACAGATGATAAAAATTCTTTCCACACGCTCGAGAATCAAACTCAGGTCTTCTGCGTGTGACTACAAAGCGCGTAAACGATAATAAACCACGGCCTGTAGTTTAGTTTTAGTAAGTTTTACGGCACTTGCAACAGAATAAGGTCATATAAGCATCGAAGATTAGAGGTGTTATACAAGAGAGAGTAACAAACACAGAAAAGGAGGAGGAGGGATAAGGACGATAGAGGTTGGATAGGAAAGAAAGAGCAAACCACACCAGAGCATCCGCCAACCACCCAGGACTCAGATTTAAATACAACAGGAACCCCCCCCACAAAAAACCCCCCCCACAAAAAAACAAACAAACAAACAACAACAACAACACAACAACAAAACCAAATAAAATAAAATAAAGATTTTTAAAAAACAAAAAACACCCCTACACTACCACCCCCCCCCCCCCCCCCACCACCACCACCACCACCAACAACAGCAACAACAAAAAGAAACAACAAACAAATCAGTTGTAGGGACCAGGAAGCCAGCTGTATTTGTCCACACTTTGTTTTCTTCGTTCCTCCCCTCCTGGCGGCTGTGCCTTAAGTAAGTACGAACGTAACACTTGACAGTCGGAAGGATGATCAAGAGACGAAGTTATTGTTGTTGATGTTGTTGTTGTGGGTGCGGCGACCCGTACTGTCAGACTGTACACTATACAATTATAATAATTATATGGTCGCTTTTAAGCACAAGGGGTCTATCCCGAAAAATGGTGTTTTGAGAAAATCGAAGGTAACGTTTTTGCCCCTTGATCAGTTTCTTTAAAAGACAAGGAGAGTTTTCTCTATAACCAAACAAATATACATACCAATGAAACCAAACTTCTCCTCTAGACATTTTTTTGTGTAGGTCAAGATTTCTGGAAACCCCCGAAATCTGGGTTAGCCCGCTTGTCCTTAAAAGAGACCATATAATAATATACAAACAAAACAAAATACACAGTGCAGGCCTCACTCACCAAGGGCAATGTTTAGAAACAGTGCTGTCGTGCCAAGACAGACAGACGTATCTGCAAAATTTTAATAACTTTTACATCTTCGTTTAAATGGACGCCTTTACCCATTCTGCATCTTGTGTCAAAGGCAGGAAGACGTATCTGCACTACAAATAGGATATTTCATTATGACAAACAGACGTAACTGAAGGGCCATGCCCATATTTCCAATGGCAGTGCGACGTAACTCAAAATCATAAAATCATAAAAAGTGCAGATACGTCGCTCTGCCCTGGAACAGCAGAGTGGTGGTCTGTTGTACCAGGGCGGAAAGGGGAGAGGAGGGATGACAAAATACTTCATATAACAAGTCGTGTATTTTTTTTGCTGTGGAAGGAAAGTTCAAAACGAAACAAACCATATGGCAAAGTATATTTAAAAACAAAAACGAATTAAAATATGAAGACAGTACAGTACAATCATTAGTCATTGTCATAGACAGCTTTTGTAAAATTGTGACCAGGGTAGGACTGGCTTGAAACACAATGGAAGCAATATATAAATACACAAACGTAATTTTATCCGTCACAAGTTACTTCTCAGTCCAGTTGATACAAACTCACGCCACACTTCACACAAACATTCATGCTCACAAAAAAGCAGCCCACTGAATGCAACATATACATTTAAAAAAATATTTTTTTAAAAATATATAATATTAATAATAATAATAATAATAATAATAATATAATAACAATAATAACAATAAAAACACAATGCTTGCTGAAGATGAAATGACTGAACAGTACCGGAACTGTGTATAGCCTTCTGCCAACCATCCACGAGACAACAAAAGGTAGCTTTCGCATTGTAGAAGATTTACGCCCCCATCGACAGAATTTATGTCGTACAAGCAGGCCAGCTGCATGTTTACTCAGTTTTAGTAGAGGTTTTACGGGAGCATGCAACTGCATAAGGTATCATACTATGAGCGCCAGAAGATTAGAGGTGTTACAAGAGAGTAACAACTACAATCACGCTCAACAAAAACCAGTTACGGACTTATGTAATAGCTGTTACTGTTGTTACTGAGTTCTTACATGTATATCATATATCAAGATATGTGGGGAGAGATTTCTGATTTATTTAAGATTTTTAAAAAAGTCTTTTATCTTTAAAACATTGTAACTTTTTAAAAGTCTTTTTTTCTTTAAAACATTGTAACTTTTTAAAAGTCTTTTTTTCTTTAAAACATTGTATACTAATGATTGAAGCTTAAGTTAAAAGGTAAGTTTTCACAACTGTGCATATCTCCATACTTTCTTAAATAAAGTTTGCATGACAACTCGACCGTATCAGTTTTCGCCAGGTACATGTCAGGAAAAATCATGGTACTGAAAAGAAGCAGAATGGCTAGACAACCAACCATTTTTCATCCCTCTCAATAATGTAGTAGTATTAGTAGAGGTTTTACGGCGCTCGCAACTGCATACGGTCATCAACAATAATGGGCACGAAAATAAACACCAACCACAGAAAAACATAAGTAGCAACAACAACAGCAACAACAACAACAACAGCAACAACAATCACAATGACAACAACAGCCGCGAGCAAAACAGTAGACTAAAGATAAATCAGTTCATTGCACACACACCCACACACAAATCAGTTCATTGCACACACACACCCACACACAGTCAAGGCAATAAGGCAGTGACGTTAAAGGCAGAAGAACATCACATGATATATCACACATATATCCACACACTTATATATCCACACACTGGTATATCCACACACTGATATATCCACACATTGATATATCCACACATTGATATATCCACACACTGATATATCCACACATTGATATATCCAGTATATCCACACAATGATATATCCAGACATTGGTATATCCACACACTGGTATATCCACACATTGGTATATCCACACATTGATATATCCAGACATTGATATATCCAGACATTGATATATCCAAACACTGACATATCCACACATTGATATATCCACATTGATATATCCAAACACTGATATATCCACACATTGACACCTCTTTCAAACGAGCATAACTTTTATCAAAGGAATATCTCCTGTGAATGCTAAAAAAAGAAAATTTGAACTATTGCCGAGTTATAGTTAATTTTCTGAGCAACATCGAAGCTGAAAGTAGCCACGACACTCCAGGAAAAGGTTAATAAAAAAATAAACAGTTGGCTAAAACACATAAAAAACACAACAAACAAAATGAGCGTGAGCTGTTTTGCAAAAAAAACCCAGCAGGAATTATAGACATTAATAACGGAATAAAGACAATGGCAGTCGATAAATGAGACATAAATAAAGAGAAACATCTAAAAAAAAGAAGTTTAATAAAGCATAAAGTAATACAAACTGGGTCAACAAAGTAAAGGAAGGTCTTAATAAGGTCATTTTAATTATAATTGTTAACTTTTTACACCCCATTCAGTACAATTTATTCTCGTGTGGGCCTGTTGAGCCACAGCAAGCGCTGCTCTCGAGAAATCTCCTGCGGGGCTGATCAATAGTCTCCTGAGACTAAAGGAACCCATTCAGCACAATTTACAACATCTAGGAGGCTGGCTGCTTTGAACAAGCCTGTCACTCAGGGGAAATCCCGGCTGAGACAGATGAAATATCTCAACAGACAGACTGGAAAACTTATTTCTCCTCACTTGTTTAGTTTTAGTTTTAGTAAGAGTTTTACGGCACTTGCAACACAATAAGGTCATATACGCGCCGAGGAAAAGGTTATGTGTTACAAAAGAGTAACATACATAAAAAAGAATGAGGGGAGATAAGGACGACAAATGTTTGATAGGAAAGAAGAAGGGGAGATAAGGACGACAGATGTTTGATAGGAAAGAAGAAGCAAACCACACCAGAGCACCCACTAACCACCCACCTCCTCATTTGGGAATTGAACTCAAGTATTTTAGGTGCAATGGCAAAGCACTTCCTCACTACACCCCACATATGTTAATGTTTTAAGGTTAATTTAAAATCTCATGGAAAATATTCAAGTTGAAGTTTGATCTTCAAATACTTTTCAAATTTAAAAAAATGGGCTTTTTTAAAAGTATATTTTAAAAGTATAAAATACCAAGTACACTGAAACTTTCAAATTGTTTTTCACAGTTGTACATCTTCATACTTGCTCTAATACCAAATTTGCTGCTACTCAAAAGCAGCTCATATTAGAGTTATTGGAAGAGCATAATATTTATAAATGGCTTGCCCTGCCAGAGACCACAGCTGGTCTCAATATTTCCCACTGCAGACATTAAGGTGGTTCTCACAGGCATACAAAAACACAGTGACAGAGGGAGAGAGAGAGAAAAACAGGATTACTATAGGAGCTGTGCGCTGCATATGTTCTTTGTATTATTGTACAGCGCATTGAGCACTTCTTTGTGGAAATGCGCTATATAAATACAATTTATTATTATTTATTATTATTAATGAGCAATTACTTCCAAGTGTGAATTGGGCAGAGGGGTTAGGGGGAGGCAGGAGAGTCCTATTGAAGAGTACCACAGGTCAAAATTCAAAACTGCTCTTGCTGAAGTCAGTCAAAAGACGGTGACGGGTCAGTTCCAACTTCTGGCCCCTGACTCATCTGCTGCACAGACGCAGACCCCTTTAGTTAGACATGTGACTATCTCACTCTATAAACAAGCAGTTAGTCAGTAATCTATACAGTAATACATTATTAAGTGTAACTTTTCATTAACTCTTAGTCTTACAGAAGACTATTCCTTCTTTGTACTCAACCAATTTTGTATTCAAAGATTTTGGCACCACAAACTTCCCTATAAC